ATTTAGTTGTTGATTCATTTCCATGTACTGAAAAGTCCTTTCACAAATAGTTGGAAATAAGCCTAAAATATTTTCCTCATCCAAATGTTTGAGTTAGCACCTAACAATAGCCACCAAATTTTGGTTTCTAGCTTGAATGGAATCCTAAACTAAAAATATATTTAGAAAACTCAAGGATATTAACCAAAAACTTGATGATCCTCTTAAGTGAACATCATGTGTGATATCCAAGAGCATGAGGTTAAGAAGATTCCTTCATTGGTTCCCCCTCAAATTTCCAATCTCCAAACAATGCAATTTCCCAGTCTTCAGACCTATTCTTTTCTCTTTCTAGACTTACTCTCCAAATGATCTCACCCGGTATCATGGCTTATATATCATACATATACAACTTCCAAATTTATATCTCCACCCTAGAATTCTTCCCAAAATATGCTGTCAATCTGATTTTTTTTCCCCTGGAATATGAAATAGGCATTGTGATATTGTGATTTATGAGAAATATATATTTGGTCATTTGAATGGTTTTTAATTTGGTTTTTTCCACAGTTTGGTTTTAATCCACATTTCCTGGATAATAACACTAAAGATGTCTTTTATTACATTAATGAGGTGACTTTTGGAAAGCCGTTAGGTAACCAAAGGATGGAGGGCTGGTTGCTAGGAGAACAAGCCATGCAAATAGAGGGTTGGAATTTTCAGTCTCACCCCATTCCCCTCACCTCCAGGGAAGGGAGGGGAACTAGAGATTGAGGTCAATTGCGAAGAGCCAATTATCTAATCAATCATGCCTATACAATGAAGCCTCCACAAAACCCCAAAAAGATGGGGTTCAGAGAGCTTCTGGGTTGGTGTACATGTAGAGATTGGGGAGAGTGGTGCACCTGGAGAGGGCCTGGAAGCTCTGCACCCCTTCCCCCAGACATTGCCCTGTGCCTCTCTTCCATCTAGCTGTTCCTAAGTTACATCCTTTTATAATAAATCAGTAATCTAGTAAGTAAAATGTTTCTCTGAGTTCTGTGAGCCACTCTAGCAAATTAATTGAACCCAAGGAGGAGCTTGTGGGAATCTCTGATTTATAGCCAGTTGGTCAGAAGCACAGGTAACAACCTGGGCTTGCAACTGGTCCCTGAAGAAGTGTGGGGCAGTCTTGTAGGACTAAGCCCTCAACCTGTGGAATCTGACTCTATCTCTGGGTAGATAGCGTCAGAATTGAGCTGAATTCTCGGACACTCTGCTGGTGTCCGAGAATTGCTTGGTGTTGTGTGGGAAGCCCCCCACCCCCCAACACACATGTTAGAATTGGATCAAAGAACCCAAAAAAGGCATCTCCACTTATCATATCCATGTGCAAAAAATGACTTCTGGTCCCACTCCTCCCAGTGATCTCCCTCCCCACCATCAACCTTGCGCTTCCTGCAGTCTTCACTGTCTACTAATTGTCCCTCTCCACCTTGCTCACTACTGAATCCCAGAGCCTAGTGCTGGCACATAGTAGGAACTCTGAATATTTGTTGAAAGCATGAGTGGATAAATGAATGAATCAACTGTTACATAATTCACTGTTAGTATTTACACATGGCTTAAGATAAATGAGTTACTCTACAAATACACAAAACAAGCAAGATGGCATGCCACATACATTACTCACACATGTATGTGCAAATATTATATAAATAAATATACTTACTATCTAAAATGACTCCAACCAATGGGTCAGAATTTTTATTTAAAATCTCCCAAATAGCAAATGGCTCCTCTGGAGTGTCGGGAAGAATCCGGAATAGAAAACTGATTGTGTAATCAGAGGGCAATCCTTCTGGATGCAAATACCTAAAAATAGAAAGAAAACAATATTTTATCGGATTCTTTCCTCAAAAAGTTATTTATCTGATTATAAAAGCAAATATTCTTTCATCATACAAGACTTGGAAATACAAAAAAGAAGAAAATAACAGATCACCATTAATCCCATCCAGAGGTGATCATTGTTTCGGTGTGGTGCATTTCCCTCCAATTTTTAAAGAATGTCTGTAAGTATTTATCCAATTTATATAATTTTGCACCTTTATTAGCCCTATTTACTATGCATTTAATATTGCCTTAAATATTTTTAAAATCACGATGTTTAATGTCTGTACAATCTTTTTTTTTTGTTTGGCTATTCCATAATTTATCTAACTGGCAACTTCTTATTGAACATTTAAGTAGTTTCAACAGTTTTAGTATTATAAATAATGCTTATCTATATCCTTTTGTAAAACTTAAGGCCTTGTAACTTTCTACCACACGTTGTAGTTAGCTGCATTCCTGTCTATGCTTCGTGCTCTGATGCACCATCCAGATCCGCCTTCAAGAATTAAGGATATATTACTCCTGCTACTGGGAGGGATGTCTGTAGACAGCCCTCAGATATCAACTCCCTCCAGTAATTGCCTCAGCTGAAGAAAGATGCATCTCTCAAGGTCATGCCGACTCTTCTATGGCACCTGTTTTCAATGATGGGTCTTTGAGGGGAAATAAGGACCAGAGCTTCTCATTCCATTGGAGATAGTTCCATTTTCAGGACTCCTGTGTGTGAGTCAACTGAGGCTTTACTAAGACTGCTTCACAGCTTGACTTCTCTCTCTGCCCTATCCTACTTCCTTCCATTCCCTTCCACAAGAGCACATCCTCATCAATTTCCCTGCACACTAATCTCCACCTCTGGATCTGCTTCCTGGGGAACCCAATCTGCAACACGATCTTGTCTCTCTAACAATTAAGCAGATCACTTATATACTTTTAAATGTTTCCCTCAGGCAACAAATATAATGCTTTACATATATAGGAGCCCCATCATAGTTCTTAATTAAATGGATAAATTTGTTAATATGTGAGAATTTAGCATGGATTTTAAAATGAAAGGTTGATTTGCATAGAGAAAAATATTTCCTTCATTTATTTATTTACATAGTAGTTAGTTCATTCATTCATTCAACAAATATTTATTGAGTGCCTACTATATGCTAGACATTGTAATAGGCATTTAAGATACATCAGTGAATAAAACTGATAAGTAAAACTGATAAGTAACTGACAAGCACTTAAATTCTAGCAGGGTGGATTTTACAGTATGTTAGAAGATAATAAGTACTATAGAAAAACAAAAAAATAGAGCAGCATGGTGAGGATCAGGAATGCTGGAGTGGATTATTCTGCAATTTTAATCAAAATCATTAGCACTGGCTTCACTTAGAAGGTTCATTGAGAAGGTTACATTTGAGGAAAGGTTCACTGAAAAGGTTATATTTGAAGAAAATCTCAAAGGAGACAAAGACATCCAGTCAGTGCAAAGACATCAAAGTGTGCCTAGTGTGTTTGGAGAACAGACTAAACGAGACAGGAGGTGAAGTCAGAGGTAATAGGTACCCAGATAATGTAGAGCCCTATGGGCCATTCAAGAGCTTTGACTTTTATTCCAAGCAGAATGGAGAATCATTGGCAGATTTTGGAGTGACATGATCTGATTTACATTTTAAAAGAATCACTCTGAATGCAACTTGGGCAATAGACTCCAAGAAGGTAAGGATGGAAGCAGGAAGACCAATGAGGAGGCTGCTGCAATGATCTAGGGAAGAGACGATGGTGGCCCATATTGGGCTGATGGCGGTGGAGGTGGTGAGAAGGCATGACAATAGGATTTCTTGATAGATTGGATGTAGAATATGAGAGAAAGAAAGGAGTTAGGCTTTTTTGCCTGAAAAACCAGTTAGACGTAGTTTTCATTAATTTAATTGAGACGGAGAAGGTGAAGTGAAGCTGCTTCTGGAGGGAGGATCAGGGGAATGGTACTGAACGTATGAAGTTTGAAATGCCCATTAGATATCCAAGCAGAGATGTCTGGTAAGCAATTGGATATGCAGGTCTCAATTTGGGGAAATAGATCTGGAGTGGAAATACAAATTTAGGAGTCCTTGGCATATAGATAGTGCTTAACATTATGATGCTGAAAAGATCCCTAGGGAGTAGGTATACACAGAGAAAACAAGGAGACCAAGGAGCAAGACCTGGTCCCTCCGACCTGAAGAGGTGGAGGAGAAAAGAGAAGCCAGTATTGAAAAGGAACAGTAGTAACATAGGCAGAGACTCAAGAGAGTGTGTGTCCCCAAAGCCCAGTGAGGAGAGCGAATCCAGAAGAAGGAAGCGACTAAATGTGTCAAATGCTGGTGAACAGTTGCATAAGATAAGGGCTGGGAGCCAATGTTTGGATTTGCAAGGTGGAGGGCACTGCTGACCAGAAGAGCAACTTCAGTG